TATATATATATATATATATTTATTTATAAAAATATATATTTTAGCTCCATACAAAAAACTTGCAGTGCAGGGGTAGCCCCACAGCAAAGGTTAACATTTCTTTTGCCCAGGGTTCTTTTGCACATTAGCAATACAGACACAGGGGAGACAGGGATAGCAAAAAAAACTGCACATACCTGTTTATTGCACAATTTGTACTGCTTGTAGGCTCCAGTACATGAAATAGCTGTAGGCACGCGTTGTCCCAGTGGTTTATCTCGGAGCAGATTTAGAGATGTGGAACCTTGTCTAGTAGCATCAGCGAATGAACTTTGTGCTATTGGAAGAGGCTGGGAATGAGAAGACTGCTGATTTATTGAAGACTGTGCTGACTGGTGCCTGATTGGAGAATAGCGTTCCTCCTGGTAAAGCTTACTATGAGTTGATGGGAGGCCGAAAGACTGACTCTGGGCTGCATTTTGTTCAGACACAGGTTGTTGCCTTTGTTGAATCTGTCTCCTTTTCCTTGGCACGTTTTGGCCTGTGTCACTTTGTAGTGGTAGTATATAAGGAATCTTTCCATAGCCATATGATCCTGGATTGATTGAAGTTCTTGTTCTGTTACTAGATAGGGAAAAGCAAGAATGTAGTATGTATTCTTTCAGTATTCGAAAGGTGTACTTTAATACACCATACATCAGACTTTAGATCAGCATTTGTTAACCATTTTTCAGTTACAACACCCTTTAAAAGTATGCAAGATCTCAATGAACCCCAGCCTAAAATGTAGAAATTGTAACTGTAAAAAAAAAAGATGTGGCCCTTTCAAAATCCATAAAAGTCCCTTATCCAGAAGTACTGTTCACATCAGACCCCCTTTCACATCTGAATGGCCTTTTCATATCAGAGTCCCACTTTAAATTAAGAGCCCCCTTCACATTAGGAATCAGCCGATTTCACATCAGAGTCCTCCCCACCTCATAGTAGGACCCTCCCTTCTCATCAGTACCCTCCCTTTACATCAGAGCCCCCTCCTTACACATCAGAGTCCCCCTCGTTCATGCCACAAGCATCCCATTCATATCAGGAGTCCTCTTCTCATCAGGTGCCCCCTCTCACATTAGAAGCCCCCTTCACATCAAAGTCCCCCTTTACACAAAAGCCCTCTTTCATATCAGAATCCCTCCTTTCACATCAGAAATCCCTTTCACATCAGAGTCCTCATTCCCCCCTTCACATCAGAGTTCTCAGTCCCCCTTCACATCAGAGCCCAACCATCACATCAGGGGCTACAGCTGCAGCAGCATGGCAGAAGGTGGGAGGCAGCACAGGCCTTGACAGAGGTGAATTTCCATCCTTCCCTCTTTCTGAATAGATCCCACCCTCCCTGGATTAGCCATATTAATTTTCTTGGTGCAGACAGCCAGGCCACCTGTACCATGGAAAGGCATAACACTCTGCAAAAATTTCCAAGCACCCATGTGGAAGCTAGAAGGCAATCCAGTGGTAGAGAAAGTATGCTTCAAATGATCAATATGGAATACTAACAAAACTCAGAAAAAAGTCAGGATGTCAGTGGGGTAACACAGAACACAACAAATGCCAACAGCAGTTATTTTCAATGAAGAAAAGTGAAGAATTTGACTTTTCAGGTAATAGTGAATTGCTCAATCAATTTAGGAATTACACATTTGTGTCTTCCAAAAAGAGATCTTTTTCAAGTCAGATAGCTTGTCATCTTTCAACTGCTGTCAAACATCTATGGGTAACTCCTAAAAAGAGGCAGAGGCAGCCAAGAGCATACCAGTAAAAATGTAGTGAGATTCCACTTGCTATTCAACTACAAGTAGCAACCAAGTGAATCATTACTGTTAGAGTTTTATAGCCTTCCGATATCTTCATGTGAAGTCTCAATTAATCCTGATTCTGTAGTCTCTACTGTAAAGGAGAAGAAATTACTGGCCTGCATTATCATAAAACAGCTACCGGTATTTATGATGTAAAAGACAATGGTCCTTTCCATGTATTTCCATTACAGTTAATGCATTCTTTACCATCCCTATATGAAAGCCAAACACTGCAATAACATACTATTATGTTATCTAATGTATATGTTCTACTTTCAAGTTGCCACTGTTCACATCAGCCCCTTCCTGGTCCCTCTGCAATGACATCCCAAATCCAGCACACAGCTTGTTCTTTCCACAGTGAGATCCCACCTCCAACACAAACTCTCTCACACACACACACATTGGTCTTTCCTTTGTACCCCCCTCCCAGCACACACATTATGGTCTTTCCCGTGTCTCTTCTCCAGCACACACTCTCCAGTTTTTCCTCCAGAGGCTCAGTCACACACTCCCTCCACACAAACTGAATGCTGAGCACTGTCCATGTCCTCCCCAAAAACATTGTACACTGAGCCCAGAAACACAGTCTGGAGGTTTACCACTCAGACTAAGATGGTCCAGAAGACAGCACTCTATAGCCGGTTTTACACCAGCAGAGTATGATTGCTAACACGACAGTGACCATTCTGCAATGTATATGCATTAACACATCAGTGACCAGTTTGCAGTGTATATTTATTAAACTCTCAGCGATTAGTCACCACAGAAGAAGCATTATCCCCTCCACCCCCCAGCTCTTAAGCGTTAACCCCTCAGGGACCTGTCTGCAGTACACGTAATCTGTTCAAGACCTGCTTTATCTCCTCAGTGCTCAATCTTCAGATATGTATGTTAACCTCTCAGCACCGCCTATGTAGGTTAACTCCTCACCACTCAGTACCCAGTATATGTGCTTTAACCTCTCAGAACATATTTGCTTATGTGTAATAATCTCTCAGCTGCCAGTACTCAGCATATATGCATTTACCCCTTTGCAGCCAGTCCTGGGCATAAGTATAATAACCCCTCAGCATCCAGTTTCATTTGCATATGTGATAATCCCTCAAATTTATGTAGTGCACTACACTAAGCATCAGTCTCATCTCCACTGACTCTGGTCCAGTGGGATTGTCAGTTCCCCTGCCCCATTTCCTGTGTAAACAATCCCCAGGAACAAAGTCTTGGGCCATCTCTTATGTCCCCATCACTAGCGCCAGAGCTCCTGAACTCCATGACACAGCCACTGTGAGTAACCTGACATTGTGAACTTTATGATTTTATATAGTGGGAAATCATAATCATGATAAACAATGCAAAGGCTCTTTACTCATCCTTATCAGACTCTGGTCATGGTAAAAAAAATGAGTGTTCAGATATGCCAAAATATCTGAGAACTGAGATTAATGGTTTACTTTTTGAGCAGAATATGTTCATTTCACTGGTTATTCAGTACTTTACCTAAAATGAATACACCCTTTCTGGAATGTATTTTCTATTTATGCTAATTTACTAATATCAAACGTGTTCAAAAGTTTAGCATTACTAGTTCTGAAACATGTGTAAAAAAGAAAAAAATAGATGAAGTAGTTGTTTTGGTAAACTTACAGTCTAAGCGCACAATGTATCACTCAAACAATGAAAAAATAACCAGAACAATGGATAAAATGACTGTTGACAGAACAATCCATTAACTATTTCCTACTACATTCATTTACATGAACGTTACCACAGCATATTCATAGGTCAGGAATGCAGCTGCCTCCTTCACCCTGGTACAGCTGTTGTGCTAACACTTCTGTCCTTAGTGTGTGATTCATACACATTACATACAGACTTCCAGATTAAGCAAATATGTAAAATTAGCCAAGAAATTTGAAATAGCCATTCCGGTTTCAACCTGAAAACAATATTCATATTGTAAGTATGGAAAAACCCATTATCTTTATGTATATTAAATACAGTAGAAGCATTGTCCCATGAACACATATACCAAATTGATCTAATAGTGTCATGGAAAAATAAATGCCATATCATATGGTAACTAAACATCAATGATGTCAGTGTATCTACTGCCAAAATATTTTTTTGGGTAGACTGTGGAAGTGTAACACCCCCATGTTACAATTGTATTGCTGCCTGTGTCCAGACTGGCAAAGTTTACCCTGGTTGACCTGGTGACAAATAGAAAAAAAGTGGCAGTAAGTGATGGAAAAGAGGAGTTTGGGAGACCTTGTCACCAACTGAAAAAGGTACAATCACATAGAAATCAACTATTTTAAATGCCTACTTGCAGCATTGTTACTTTCCATAAACTAGTTTTAATACCTTTGCAATGTGTCTTCGACCTTTTTGGCACATTTTACTTGTTCTTGAAGAGTCATTTCCTTAGTGCAGCCCCTTCCTCCCTGCATGCCATAGCCTTCTTCTTCTAGTGTCTATGCTGGTCTAGCTTCTCCTCTCACTCCCCCACAAAACCTTTTTATGTAGCTGCAAGGGAAGGTGAAGGGGAATCCTATAGAATGTTACTTGAGTCTGCTGGGGCTGCTGACATTAGATCCAAGATGGTTGTGCCCAGCAGCAGTTCTCAGGGCTTTTAGATGTCTACACAGGTGACAAGCATACAATATTTTAAAAGCACTCTAAACATTTTAAAAGATTATAAAATCTTAAGGGGATGTTTTGGCTAGAGATAAACATTAAAGAAGATCAGAACATCAACAAGGTAACAATTTTCTTGACATTTGCAACAACCCTTTCTGGGTGACATCACTTGATTTTGAGATCCACGCAGCCACAGAAAATTATTACAAATGTAGCATTCCTGTGTGACCACATCAATCAAAAATGAGCTGTGCTTTCTAACAAGAATGTTCTCTGCATACAGTATATAATCTGCTGCACCAAAAGCAATAGAAATTATAACATGAATAATGAGAATGCCAAAGTTTACATAATTAACTTCCTCCTTTGAGGCAACCCATTACTCAAGCATTACTACCCATTACTTATGCAATGACAAGTGATTGTTGTGGTCTCAGAAATAAATGTATAATGAAACAAATATATCTGTCAATTGTATTAAAGCATGTTTATGCACAAAAAAATTGGGAAAAAAAACAGATTACAAATCTTTCTTCAGCTGGCCATACAGTGCTAGAGTTTTGTGCAAAACATTCATACAAAACAATCTCAACAGAACATTTGACAAAGCAAGCAGACTTGCGTGTCATTCAAAATCCTGTTTGATTTTAACATTCGATTGTTTAATGAATGGAGTTTCCAAAGCAAAAATCACATTTAGTACAATTTTGTTCATTCCAAAACATTTCCATCCTGCTCCTTTGATTATTTTTTTTACACTATGGTCAAAAATTATCATCAATTTGGCCCCATTAACTATTATACAATCATGAACATTCCAAAAATGAATTTGTTCGAAAGATATTCTAATGGTGTATGGCCAGCTGTAGGCCAGTGTCTTGTGCATCTCACTTGTGCAGGACAAAGAATGCTAGAATTGTGGATCCCATAGCAAACCATGATGGACAGTAGCCATGGTCCCACAGCAGTGGCAGTGAGAGGGACTATATATGTAACGTACTGTATATGCCACAGTTCTTATTATTATTATTATTATACAGGATTTATATAGCGCCAACATATTGCGCAGCACTTCACAACATAGGGAAGACATTACAATTACAAAACAATTCAAGACACGATGGTAAGGAGGGC